CTCTCCCTCTCTGGATCTAAAGTCCCCAGCTGCTCCATCGCTCCACAAGAGACATGTGCTTTTGTAGTCACATAACCACCTTCATGAGAAGAGGGACTCCATATACAATAGTTGTTGATTGTGCCCACCAGCTGCTATGTATATATAATTCTTTCAGAAACTCTTGAGTACCTTGGTTGTATCTTGTAATGTTTGACATTGACTGTGTCAGGTACCATAGAGGGACCCTTGGAGTTTATCGTGTGCTTGGAAATAGGAGGTATGCCACAACACAAGAAAGAGATGAGTGATAGTTGTGTGGGCAGTGTGCTGAACCAAGAACTGAACATTTGGGGTTCGTGGTCACCTCCACTATTTGCCTCTCATGAACCTTTTTGGTGGATAGTCAGCCTACCTGAGCTTTGGTTCTGAGATTTAATGTGAGACTCTTTATCCTGAACAAGCATGTTGCTGTTATTGTTAAGTGCCATTGAGTCCATTCTTACTCGTAGCTTGCAGATTAAGAGATGTTAGACATTTAAGAAAATTTCAAATTCTGTTTCTGATACATATTGTGGTTTTAAGATGTGAAAGGACATGAATAAAATATCTCTACTTGTATACTATCATGACTAAACAAGGCATTCCAAACAATAACCTTTGAAATATCAACTTCAGGATGTGTTTCCTCCTAAGGTGAATGTAGCGTATAGTGGAGAGCTCTTATTGTCTTCTCAGGGAGACAGGAGAAAGACCAGATGTTCCAGAGTGGGCTCTCCTGGTCCTCACGACTGACCTTCCCCTCTGTGTCTCTGCAGTGGATGTGACTCTGGACCCAGACACAGCCTACCCCAGCCTGATCCTCTCTGATAACCTGCGGCAAGTGCGGTACAGTTACCTCCAGCAGGACCTGCCTGACAATCCTGAGCGATTCAATCTCTTCCCCTGTGTTCTGGGCTCTCCGTGCTTCATCGCTGGGAGACATTATTGGGAGGTAGAGGTGGGAGATAAGGCCAAGTGGACCATAGGTGTCTGTGAAGACTCTGTATGCAGAAAAGGTGGAGTAACATCGGCCCCTCAGAATGGATTCTGGGCAGTGTCATTGTGGTATGGGAAAGAATACTGGGCTCTTACCTCCCCAATGACTGCCCTCCCCCTACGGACCCCTCTCCAGCGGGTGGGGATTTTTTTGGACTATGATGCTGGTGAGGTCTCCTTCTACAACGTGACAGAGAGGTGTCACACCTTTACTTTCTCTCATGCTACCTTCTGTGGGCCTGTCCGGCCCTACTTCAGCCTGAGCTACTCGGGAGGGAAGAGTGCAGCCCCTCTGATCATCTGCCCCATGAGTGGGATCGATGGGTTTTCTGGCCATGTTGGGAGTCATGGTCATTCCATGGAGACTTCCCCTTGAGAGATGAACTCAAGCCAAAATGACTGTTGGCTATACTCCTACCCCTGACACATGGCATCTCATTGCCTTGCCACTTACTAGCCATCACAGCAGGATATCCTTAACCACTTTCTATGTCCTCGAAGTGGAAGACAGGATGTCCATGTTCTTGATCGTCCTTTTCCTTTCAGGCAAACTGTAATGAGAACTCTCAACATTGCCCAGAAATAAAAACCAGATGTCCACCTCCAGTGTTTTATACTTTTCCATTTTACACATTACTGGAGGGAATAAAGAATATGGATAATCTTTAGATTTGGAGGGCCATTCCAGATAGTTGCTCCTTTTTGGCTCAGCCTGGCTTCCTCTGGTTTTGGCCCACTTATTGATCATGGGTATCTGCTGTCATTTTTGGACAAGAACTCCTTTCCATGAACCTAGAGTGGGACTATGAGGCCCTGTCAGCATGACTTCTTATAGCCCAGTTTTTCCCTCTGGAAATAGTACCTCTATCCCTGATTCTCCATTAAAGAGGCATATATGTGTTTTGGTTAGTAACTCCATTAAAGAGGCATATATGTGTTTCGGTTAGTTACAATTATTTTATATTAATGTTGGGGAAAGGCCCCAACTTCCGTTACAGAGATAATGTTCTAATTAACATGGTGTTTGCCTCTGTATCTTTTCTGAGGGCTTTGTCTGCTTCCTTCATTCTAATGAAAAATGCGTTCTTGTGCTGGATGTACATCATCCAGGGTAATTTTCTGCCCAGCACCATCCATTGCTCCTAGATCCCCTCCCTGTCACATTTGTGGACTGGTGGCCAGTCAGACATCATCCCTGGAAGGATTCTGGGTAGTATTCCAGGGATTCATCAACTTCCTGCCTCCTTTTTTCCATCTCCTTTAGAAGATGGGGGAATTGTTTTTTCTAATGTGTGTATCAGGGGGCAGGTCCATGCTCATGGCCATTGGATCACAAAGTGTTCTGGGGTCAGAAAGATAAGGCAGGTCACTTTGAGCAAGCCCCCGTGATGTTTCTTGGTTCTGCTTCTCTTTGGGTACATGCCCCTCTGTTTGAAAATAAAGTGAGTATGGATGTTGTTTACATTGTTGTTGTTTCCCCGGTCTGGGTAGGATTGGGTTCATAGATGTTGGAGTGAGTAGAAAGAGGATCATGGGGGAGGAAGTGGTTAGTGGTGGTGATTTCCCTTATGGATTCAGAATTCTCTTCTGACCAACATTTTACTTCCAGCTAGACAGTAACTCCTTTCTCAGTACCACCTTACTGTTGAGATAATAGTGTTGAACGTCCAAAGCCTGTAGCTCTAGCTCTATATTGGTTTATCCTGTAATGTCACTGGGAAAATATTGTACCAAGTCATTTTTGTAGTTTTCACTTGGGGTGATGAAGCAATGCATAGCGTGGATCAGAAGGCCTGCCTCCCAAGCCAGAACCACCAGCCTAAGCCCATGGCGGTACTGAGGTGGATAGATTAGACTGAGAGAACAACTCTAACCCCAGGAGTATGGATTTTTTCCTCTTTTGGACATGGCCTCAGAAGACAAAATTCTATGGACTACACTTTCTCCTGTACCAGGCATCGTATTTCCATGCCTGAAGCTCATGAGTTGGTGATATGTCCTGTGTGTGTGTGTGTGTGTGTGTGTGTGTGTGTGTCTATATGTATATGTACGAGGAGGCTTCAAAAAGCTCATGGAAAAATGGAATTAAAAGATAATGGATTTTATCCACAACCTTTTTGAAGACCCCGCATATATTTATACATATATATTTATATAAAAAATCCTATTGTCACACACATACTACAAAGTGCTCATAGTACAAAGTGCTCTATGCACAATAACTTATTAAATCCTCTAACAACCCTATGAAGTAGGTATTATTACCCTTATTTTACAGATGAAGAAACTGAAAACACAGGGTAAATGGCTTGTCCAAGGCGCACAGCTAAGAAGCAGCAGAGCCAGGATTCAAACTGAGACAGAAAATATAACCAGATACATCAAATCCTGTCCAACCATTTATATGGATTATGCTTTCCTTCATGAGTGGGGCAGAGCAGAGACCGGAAGCCTTGGAATGCCAGTCCATTGACCTGGAATGCCTGTTTACAGCAGTGACTGTGTCTACTCTAGATTTAAGGATCTGCAGCTGGAAATCTTGCATTCCACTTTTCCCAAATTAAGTCCACTGGGGCAGGGAGGAAGAATGTAAGGGCCTACAAAAAGGACACCTTGTACCAGTCCCAGCAGAGGAGCCCTGGGCTCCTTGTCCTTGCTGCCTGAGTGATGGGGCTGTCTCCAAGCTAACTTAGAGGACCACACACTGGGTCTGCTTTATCCCTGGTAGACCCAGTGCCTTAGGAACAGCAGTATGCATTTTTGTTAAAAGCAACAGCTGGAGCAGTGATAATCGACCTTGTTGGAGTGAGCAAAGATACTTCTGACTTGAATGGGGATGTATCTACAAGAATTTGTCTTTATGCTGAGTGAAGAAAATGTCTTAGAAGACTATATGCCAGACAATATCCTTTTTATAATATTAAAAGGAGGATTGTGGTTACCTATGAGGTTAAGGGTAGCTCAGACAGAAGCACTCAATTAGAAGCCAGAAGTTGGTGGTTCAGACCCACCCAGAGGCGTCTCAGAAGACTGGCCTGGCCATCTGCTTATGAAAGGTCACAGCCTTGAAAACCCCATGGAGTTCTGCTCTACACACATGGGGCAGAATGGCGGCAACAACAACAATGGGGCAAGGTGGGAGAATGAGAGCAAAGAAGGTATAGGCTGATGAGTTATTGTCTTTTTTGTGATGAATGGTGGATTCACAGCTACTTATATTTAAATTATTAAAAAATAAACCTGTCATTTTAAGTGAACTTCAATACAACTTATAAATGATTCTAAATTCTAATTTTTTTGTTATTCATAACTATTAAGAGATTTTTGTTGACATGTTTTTACCACTTAAAAAAATTATGGTACCCACAGCAAGTCACTTACAAAGGTAAGTAATGTTTGAATTAATTTAATGAGAATTTAGGCCTTTCAAGGCAGACATGGGGCCTCTTAGGATTCTTGTGACTTCTTTCAGGTATTTCTCTCAGAATGCATGAAGTTGGTAATTCCACATCAAGGCTTCAATGTGTCCTCATTCCTTAATTCCTTTGCTACATAAGTAAAATACTATGTGTGTGTGTGTGTGTCTTAAGCTGTTCTTATTTTTATTTAATATGGACTCCGACATGCAGAAAAGAGCATCCTCCCCAAGAAGTTCCGAGAATGATAACGGGAAACTGACAATGGCCCCTGCCCTCTTTGGTATACAATTAAGTAAAGGGATGAGACAATACGGGTGATAGTTAATTAACACAGAAAGGCATTATACAATTAAGAGCAAGCAGCTGTCAAATAGTGAGATGGCAACAATACATCTCCCTGTAAAATAAAAAACACAGTACTGAAGGTTCTTAGTGTACCAGTGCAAAGTGAGCTGCCTCTTCACAACAAAAGATTATAATTTTTTTATTCAAAGATACAGTTTACTAATGTTGGATGACACATCTGAACTGAATTCTAGAGGGGAATACAGTCCTTGGATAAGGTAACAAAATCAATTAGGGGAGGGGATATAGCATGAAAAAGAAATACAGAACAGCTGAAGTCTTGTGGATAAGTGAAATATGTAGGACCATAGACAGTGGTCTCAGAGGAAACTGAAATCCTAGGTCAACATTTCTTTCTTAGCAGCTCAAGTGTCTTATTTCTCTAGAGGCTGGAAGGCCTCTGGCCACTAGCCTGGTCTTACAATATACTTTGACTCAATGATGTAATGACATCATCAAATCCCTTCACCTAGTGTTTAGCCCAGGATTCCTGTTTTGTGGAGTCTCTGAAGACTGAAGAGAAAGCCCAGCCAGGTTAATGCTGGTAGGAATGTTGCAGTGGAACTAGCTTTGCTAGATCATAAGGTAGCTTAGATTTCAAAATCTGTAAACAATATGTGCATTTGACAGGGTTTTCTCAGTCCATTTCTTTTTTTCCCTTCTGGAAAAGAAATGGAACTTTCTCAGGCCTAACTTTATTGACTTAATTTTGCTTTTGAAGTTTAATTCATAAAATTTGTAATTTTATTAAGAGGTTTTTGTTTTTACTGATTTGAAAATTGTCACTCAGCAGCAGCAGCAGCAGCAGCAGCATCCTGACGATAAAAGTTTTAGTTACCCATTGAACAGCCCTATAAAGAAAGGCAAGGATCTTGTCTTGTATTGTCCTTGTACTGGAAGATTAAAATGTAGATTTTTTTATTACAAATTGTTGTTGCCATCAAGACACCTGTATGTAGCTCATGGTGACCCCATGTGCAACAGAATGAAGCTTGCCTGGTCCTGCTTCACCTTTATCACCGTGGGTATACTCAAGTCCATTGTCATGGGCACTTTCAACCTAAAGGGAGCATCTGCCAGCACTATATTGGACAATCTGTTGTAACCTATAGGGTTTTCATTGACTGATTTTTGGACACAGACTTTTTTCGTATTCTGTCTTAAATCTGGAAGTTCTGCTGAAATCTGTCCATCCTGGGTGACTTAACTGGTATTTGAAATATTGGTGGTATGACTTCCAGCATCCTAACACACAAGTCACCACAATCTGTCAGATGGGTGATACTATTCCATGACTTTGCCTTTATTTCTATGCTGATTTTTTTCTCCTTTAAATTTGATTTTTTTTATGTTGCTGTTGAGAGTAACCAACTGCCTTCGAGTTAACACAGTGACCTTGTATAGGATTTTTGAGGCTGTAAATCTTTAGGGGAACAGAAAGCCTCATCTTTCTCCCAAGGAGCAGCTGGTGGGTTTGAACTACAGATCTTGTGGTTAGCAGTCCAGTGCTTATCCTACTGCACCACCAAGACTCCTGCTGTTGAGAATCTATACAGCAAAATGTACTCCAGTAATTTCCATACAGACAAATTAGTGACATTGACTACATTCTTCTAGCTCTGTAAGTATTCTCACTCTCAGATGAGTATCTCCCTCATTAACAAACTCACTGCCCTGTAAGGTTGTCCTCTAATCTTTTGAGTTGCTGTTGTAAGTTTGATCCCATAGAGATAATTCTTAAAACAGCATAATGCTCCAGACAGACCTTTTCTTACTAATTAAACTTTTTCAGTTTTAAGACTTAAACAGGAGACATTTTTGGTTTGGGGTTTATGATGATCTCCAGGCAGTCCTGTATTTTGATCAGAATTCTTTGTACATTTTGCCATTTGCCATTTGAGCAGGATGTTTGAAGATAATTTTTTCAGATCATCTGATACCAGTTGAAAGAACTCACTTGGGTTATTTTTAGCCTGCAGGGTACAGGTAAGCTGATGCCTTTTTCCCAGATTGCTCATTCAGAGCAAATGCAGAATTTATCTGGCTATGTGTGGGATGTTTACTAAACCCAGTTTAGGTTTTGTGATAAGCAAGAATTTAGAAAAATAAACTCTAAGAAGATATATTTGTTTTTTATTTATACTGAGGTGACCTGAGCAGCACAAATGGTTAATGCTTTACTGCTAACCAAGAGATTGTTGATTTGAACTTATTCGGAGACATCCTGGAAGACAGCTCTGGCAGCTTCTGAAAGTTCATAGCCTTGAAAACCGTATGGAGCCGTGCTCTGTACCCAAGGGGTTAACATGGGTCAAAATCTGTTTGATGTGGCACTGTAGGATCATCACTGGACTCTTAATTGCAACAATGATAGCTCAAACCTACCAGCCATTATGAATTGAAACCAATTGGACAGCACTTAACATTATATACTGTATATATGTTGTATTTTTGCATAATACATTTTTTCAGTATAGTACACAATATTAATTTCTTTTAGTGTAGAAAGCTTTCACCCTTTTCAACCTATACATTACAAAAAAGGAACACTAAGTGAAAAACAAAATACCAGTATAGATGTTGTTGAAGTTAGGGTTGTTTTTTTTTTTTTTTACCTTTCACCATGGAAACTTTAAGCATACCCATAAGTGAAGAGAATATACAGTGAATTACCCCATGTTGTAGGTACTGTT